CGGAAAAACATTCAAAAGGCAATCTTACTGACTAACGTAGAATGTCACTTTTGGACTTTCGTAGCGATCCCAGAAGACACACTAGCCACGGCACGATTCCTACTATTCGTAAATGTTAATACCTCGATTCTCATGAAAGTGAGATTTATCTCATTACTATCTATATCTTGGGAAGTAACATCAAATACACTTCGACTAAAATCGAGATATTAACACTGACGCATACCGGGCTACTGGCGTGGCTTATCTAGCTTCGCCACAAGTCCTTCTGTTGAAACTTATTCAAATCACATTGAAGTAAACGGAATGTCGAGTTCGGATATTTCTAAAGAAATATTACTTGAATTTTACCATTAGGAATTCATTTTTTCATTTAACTTGTCACCTACACTCTGTCTTTACATTTTAATAAAAACCAACGATACGTTTCTTCATTTCTATCGCTTCATACAACAAATGCTAGAAAAACGAAAATTATTTACAACGCCCAGTAAATTGCTTTACGAAAGAAATAGATTGTGGAAAAAAAGTGAATGGCGTAACAATTACAGTTTGTGTGACTCCTCAAGAAATGATGAAATGTTCTATATGAAAGAATTTCAAGGGCGATTCGATAAAAGGAAAAGCTGATAAATGAATTAAGCTCAACTTCTCTGGATCAATAACCTCTCTCATTATATTGAGATGAGAAATGATTCCGTCCCCGAACCTGAGAACCCCGAATGAGGCGGCGGGCAAGAGAAATTTCAAGCACAAATAGAACTGTTACATCGAGTAAAATCTTTTTCCTAACTACACTTGGGTTGTTCACTTAAGGAGGAAAACAAAGCTTTACATGCATGTTATAAAATCTTAAAAATTGTTAATGTGCACCGCAAATTTGGCTAGCAAAATTTCGGTTATGTACAACATTATTAATTAAACAGAAGTGCACTCATGTTTGTACAAAAAATTGATCGCAGTGCAATAGCTTTTGAGAATGAAACAGTTCGAGAATCGGAACTACTTTAATGCATTGTAGCGATAACTGCAAGAAGATCTGGTGATCATTGAGCTTCAAGGATAAATCAATTCATTTTTCAAAATAATCTTTAAACTTAAGTTTCATTTCTATAAATCTGCGATGGAACTTTTCAAGATGCAAGTGTAAACATTTTAAGTGATTATATATTGATTTAAAATAGTCAAATTAACGTTTACGATAATTATTAATTTATTGTCTTTCATTTCTGCACCACTCAATATTACAGTTCATAGTATTCATCTAAGTGTAAATATCGAATCCCGAAGTTTTGAGCCCCTACAGGCGCCAGCACCCTGAGTTAAGCGAGGCAGCTCGTCCGGCTTCGTCCCTGAGGTACACAGCGCCCCCTTCATCCTCGTTGGCTCTTCAGGGCCTGGTTCTGGGTTGTCTCATCCGGCACCCGCCCGCGGCCCTTTCACAAACAAGTCCCCGCCCATGTTCCAATTCCGTCGCCTTGCTCGCCCTCGCCCCGTCCCCGTTCCCTGGGCTGCGCTGCGAGCACGCTGGGCGATGTTGCGGTACTTGCGATTCTAAGAGTACCGATTTTTTTATTTTTATTTTCAATAGACACTCTATGCATGGCGTGGTGCACTTGGCCGTATATCACTTTGGAGCCTCTGCGCATGTGCAACTCGAACTGGGAATCATATTTGCAGTGTCGTTATCGATAGTGTTGAATCGATGTGGAATATCAAAGCTTCACTATTTATAGCGAAAAGTTTAGAACAATGCCACTGCATATGTGTATTTTCTAGGTTTCTCTAAATACTGCTTTCCACTTATTTAATACACAAGATGTTTATTGAATATAAATGTTTATTATAACATTTATCGAAAATACATACCGTTTAAATAAAATAAAGAATTAAAACTGGTCAACACTGGAAGTATCGCTGTGTGAGGTTTGTGAATGTGGACGAAACCATACCTAAATATTAGTATCATTAGCAAATATCAAATCTATTCACCAAGTATCGAATACCGGTCATCGTAACATCCTCACAAACGTCCCCTCCGCTATTGCCCTCCGTGTTGGTTAATGCGACGGCTAGTGTAAAGACAAATACGTTAAAACAAGAAGGATAATGATGATGATGACACCCAAAACGGACGAAGTGGAAACGACACGATTGCTAGCAGGCAAGGCATTAAAGGCGAAGAAATGCAGCGAGGCGCGTGAAGTTGCGAAGGGCGCCTGTGGAACGATACGAAGTGTAGGGAAGTGAATAATTGTTGCGGATTGGGGTGCAGGAGGGAGCGGCTTTAGGAGGGGACAGGGAGCCTCGTAGAGGGCGTTGGAGACGAAGCACGAGCCGCCGGCGGAGGACGATAGATGGAACGCGACGCGGAAGAGGGAGATGCTGGACGAGCCACAGCCAAGCGGAGCTGCACGGGAAAAGAAGATCCGGGGAGAAATGGGGGGAGGAGAGGGTGTGATGAGTGGCGGAGGAACAAGATGCGGAGCGGGAAGAGGAGGGAAGCGGGGGCGGGAGGGGAGGCGAGCAATGGTGAATGAGCGCTGCAGGCGATCCGATTACCTTCATACACGGGAAGCCTCTCAGCCGGGCGGCAGCCGAGAGGTGAGTGCCAGGCGCCCCCTCCCCCTCCCCCACGAGACGCGACACGGGACACCCTAACAGCGCCGGCAGTTTTTGCATAAAAGCACAGCTTCAACGGTCGAAGATTGAATCGAGATTGCTTCCTCCGTGCACCTGCGCACGCACACAGTACGACACTCCAAATCCCCACATAACGCTTCCTACTCCAAATGCAACGTAATTAAATCTAAAGCTCCAGTTCTGACCTGTCTGCTTCTTTGTCTATTAATACATGAACGGTCACTAGCCGAGAAAACGACAACCACTGAATTCTTTCAAATGTCATTCCAAGTAGATATAAATCATAATACTACTCAAATACACTTATGTAAGTACGGATGGTGCATAACTACGTGTACATATTAAATGAACCCAAAATATAAACGCAATTGCCAATTTACTAACATTTCTTCCAAGATCATATAAACTACAAATTCCAATTGTAATTATTTTCAACCGTCTATTAATATTTCAAAATCCAGATCATCAAGAGTAACAATCAATAGAGCATGCACATATGATGAACATGAGAGCACTCTTGTAGAGAGCGTGCTGCGTGTCGGAAGTGTAAGACGAGAGGAATTCAATCTCGAGCGTCTCCGATTCTGTTTATTTCTCTTTCGTTCTGTTAGATAATGAACCGAGAAGATGATGTGTCACTCTTCCATTTGAAAAGGATCTCTAAGGTCTGTATTAACCTGTATGGACAACCAAACAAAGGCTTTGTAAAGAGCTCTTCAAAGCACTACGGTGAATGCACAACTTCGCTTCTTGTAATTGAAACCCGTACAAACGAGAGATGGCAAATAGGAATATTGATAGCAGAAGTATGAACAGATTACGATTGCTCATTATACTACCGCCGTATGCTGAAGACCCAAAATTATATATAAGAAGCATCTATCCCATACAAATCATTCCCAGAGAAAAAGAATTAAAGTATTGTGCCTCATTCTGTTTACAAACATATCGACAAAAAAATAACAGACAGGAAACTTGTCGAATAATCACGCAAAAGAACAGAAAAATTCATTCAAAAGGAATAACGACTATAAATGGGTTATTTGCAATACCAAAGTTATTTTTCAAATCTGTATATACAAAGCGAGTTTGCAATGCGAAGATTTCTTTTAAAACTGTTTGTGAATGACCAATAATTGTTTAAAAAAGCATTTATATTTCTTCTGTAAGCAGAATAAAGTAGTTATACATGTTTTGAATAAATGTTCACGCAATATTGAATTATTTAATATTCCATCGGAGAGGTATTGAAAAGCCTGCACTCGACTCGCGTATGCCAAAGCATCCTTACTTAAGAAAGTTGTAAAATAATGCCCACTCTACGCGAATTGCAGCAGTAAATAACTATCAGATGAAATTCAAAGAATGATTGAAGAACTGCCATCCATTTTCGAAAAATATTCGTGGCAAGTATATCCTACGTTCGCGCACATTTTCTTAACGTATATTAGTGAAAGATTATGACTTGAAGACGAAGAAGAAATGAAATTATACCCAAGTAATTCTAAATATTCAAAATAATGCAAGCAAAAAAACTTTGAAGATTACTCATAAGACAGCGTATTTCACAATGTTATGTTACAAGTGACTTAACAAGCTTTGCTTATCTCTGTTTATTGTCAGTTCCAACAAACAGTTTACTCGAGGAAGAGAAACCACTTTGCATAAACCACCGATGGACCCCCCAAGCAACGGCTTATGATAAGAAGGTTATACAAGTTTACTCACGTGATCGAACACTGATCGCTTCGACGTTCCATTAATCACGCACGTGCACTCATGCCAGTCAAGACTTCAAACTGAACTTAAAACTTTAGACTGACATCTTCCGCTATAACTGACAAACCAAATACCGCGATTGAGTATTATGATAACCAAAACCAATGAATATTATTCGTAAATAACTATATTCTTCTTCTGAATACACTGTAAAGGCGTTTGTGCTTCATACGAGTAGCTTCATGCAAATAAATCAGTACTACAGGCCGCCCAGTCACTCGAGACCCGGAAAGAGCTCTCCATTGTAATGAAATCTTGTTTGCATTACCTAATTACTTTTCTGCGCGCAAATTCTGAAACAAGACGCTAACAAACAAAATTTAATCCTTCTTAATCATAAAGCACACAAAAACAAGCCTCCCATTTCGATTAAAAATTTCGCGGGGGAAATCCGAAACACGTTTTTTTTCGAATATAGCAATTATGAAGCGCGCATTTGAAAGATATCACTTTTTCCTTTTCTCATTAGTCCTTTTCCCTACGCAAAGTTGCTGCTATAATACGCGACGTACATCTGAAATGTAACCGTTTGTGTTCTCTTTCTCAAAGTAGCCTGGCCAAGGCGGTGTGAAGGTGACTCACCGTGTGAGCGCGGCGGGCAGCGAGTCCACCCACTCCTGCACGGTGACGGGGCTCTTGCGCGCGGGCGACGCCGAGTCGTCGCCGCCGCCGCCGGCGGGCGGCGGGCGCAGCTTGAGCGGCTGCAGGGCGGCGGGCGGAGCGCGCCCGGGGAACCCCGACGCGGCGACGCCCGCCGACAGCGGCCACGGCAGGCGTGCGGCGGGAAGCCGCCCCCGCGCCGTCCGCCTGCCTGAGCACGATGCTAGGGCGGCGCGCGGCCGCCGGCGGGCCCCCTGGCGGCGGGGGCGGCGTGCGGGCGGGCGCGAGGCGGCGGGGCGTCGGGCCCAGCTCGGCAGGCTCGCTCATGGCGCGCCCAGCTCCCGCGCGGCAGCGACGGCCTGCGGCGCTGGGCAGCCGCGGCGCGGCGCCGGGCCCGGGCCCAAGCCCCTTCCCGCACTGGGCTCGCCTCGGCCGCCACCGCTACTATGCACCTTCGCTACTCCGCACTCGCACATGGCACCTGCACCGCACTCGTACTCGGCACTACGCACTGCGTACTCGAGCGTCGGCCGGCTGCGGGACGCGCCCTGATTCGTCGCTGGCGGAGGAGGAGGACGCGCGCTGGCGCTCCGCCGGGCTGGCGGGAGTCGCGCTGCCCTTTCATGTCGGCGGGCGCGTGGTGGGGCGTGGCGGGGCGGAGCCTCAGTGCTTCAGTGCGCGCTGAGGAGCGCTGCTTGCAGGCGCGCAGCGGCGCCGGCGGCGTCGGGCCCCGTGTACTCTGCGCCGAGACAGGCGGCCGGCCAGCGACGAGCCGGCCCGGCCCGCCGGCTGCCTGCCGCCGCCCGCGGCGCCCCGTCATCCCCTGCCCTCGCCCTCCTTCGGCGTCGCTGCCCTCCTCCGCCCCTCCTCCTCCTCCCCGCTGCTGCTGCTGCGAAGCGCGCGGCGCGCGCCCCACTGGGCGCGCCTGCACCTGCAGGCTCTTCCACCAGGCACTGCACGCCGCTGCTGGAGCCACTGGCTCAGCCGTCCGCTGCTGCCTTGCACCACACCCAACGCTCCGTCAACAGCGCAGGCACCCCCCCCCCTTCACCATGCCGCTTTCCTCCGCAATGGAGCGAGGAGTACCTCGAGCGATTGCTCTCGACACCACGACCCCGCCGAACCCACCGGACTCCTCGCGCATAGTGCGCACACAATCATCATTGCCAGCAGTCATGAGGTATACGCCCACAAACATTCCATTTATAATGACACGCATCTTTAACGGTGGAGAAGCGTGACGGTAGGCCAATTAAAGTTTTTTGTTTTTTTTAATTTACAGTGCCAGCCCTCACAAATCTCCACATGTATTTATAATACAACCACATCGTCATACAAACGCTTTTGTGTTTAAATTTTGGATTTACAAACTATTCAACTGCAATTGTTTAATCAATAAAATTGCTCATTAAATATTTTACTGGTCACATGACTAAAACAGGAATCACATAGTGATAGCAAGTAATTGTATAACGAAGTAAAACCAACATATAAGTAAAATCTGGTTGATTCCTCACTGATGGCTGATTTTATAATCGGAAACACACAAATCGGTCAGAATGTGAGTAGCTAAACACACCGTACATATTACGTAAAAAACGTAAAAATTAAACGCGCACACACGTGCATGCACATCTATTTAGAAATTGTATTGTTACGAAAACACGCTATATTCACTTCAACTATTGCCATTTAACCACCCAAGGAACTCTCTGTGCCTATCGTTCTACGAAGTTGTCTCCACAGCATTAATATAGAACGCTACATTCACCAGACCGCAGATAAAATGCCACGTGATTTGCATGCACCGTACTACTTTAGTAAGCTCTGGGCAGATGTTAACTGTATGCCTCGCGTGTGTCACCTTATCTGCGCGTTATCACACGATAACCGATAACCTAACTGGAACAAAATATTTCCACATTTCCACTCACATACTTTTCCGGTCCGTCAATACTATGACATGAATACAACCCCTTTCTTAACGAACTTAAAAGAAAATGGGATCCAAGAAACAAACATTTTATACATTTAAAAGTATATAAAAAATGCGGACCGAATTGTAGGTTAATTAATTAATTCATAGTAGACGCTTCTTGAAACATTAGATATACACATCCTTTCAATCACGAAAACGAATGTTCGATATAGTGATCACAGCAAAAACTACTCCATTTTATAATTCATTACTTCTTGCATTTGTTATGCAATGTTATATTAACTACTGCACGGCCGAAATTTGGCGGCAAAACACTAACAAAGTGAGATAATTACTACCACGTTAATCCGTTCGCAATGGGTACGGTGCTCCAAAACTGAGAGCGTGTTCGCAGACTCCAGCACAAACGAGCTGTAAGGGGTCGCGCAACTGTCTGGAGGAGCAGAGTGGGAGAACAGGCTCCGTCGCATTCTTAGCGGTCCCGAGGCGATATTCCGGGAGCAGACAATTACACAGAACGTTCTGTTGGCGTTTCCAAATGCAAAATACCAACAATCACCGTCGGAAATGCATAGCCGGAAATCACATTAACTCGCTGACTTCTATGCTTTCAAGGAACCGTTTTTATAGCTGCGTTTATGTGCGTTAATACACATTTCCTAACAAATACAATGTGTAGGCTCTGTTCCGAATTGTATATTCAAAAATGTAACCCGTCTGATCCTCAATTTGGAGGTAACTACTCGCCAATGTTAATTAATAAATCACAAAGGCAAGAAATGTATAAAAGCAATTTCCTGGTGAAATAAAATCTTCATAATATAGTCACATTCGTGAATCTCTCGAAAAATGAATTATGTTAAATATTCGCAAATACCACTCCGACCGAAAGGCAATTGTTAAAAATTCTAAACTCAACTTCCAGTTTTCCATTATATAGTTTACCTAAAGAACATGAGTGTTTCTTTAAATTGTAAGTGAAGATACAAGCAATTATTTTAGTGAAGGCATTGCAGTTTTTTAGTGAATTAAATCTTTAAATGTTTGAAACCTGTGAATGCTCCCCTTCACAACATTTTTAACATCGTATAAAAAGGAGAAAAAGTCAACAACGTCGTTCCGCTAATTCCTAACTTCGTAGAAAATAAAAATATATTAGAGAACAGAAAGCGTTATAAACATTAACGCTAGTCATGCCATAATATTCACGCTATTTGCAGACTTGTTTACATGCGATACAATAGTTAAACAATGACCAATGCATTCAAAAAATACCGATGTAACGGTAAATATTCCTACGTTATGGTAATTAGGCTATTTCATTCATTTTATCCAGTGGAGAAAATGCTGTACAGTTACTCGACCTAGAATGACATATGCACTCAATTAACTAGGATAAAATAGCTTCATAGCATGCGCGTTCTTTTTCACGTAGGTTAACATACTCGCCTTCGACACCAACACGAAGATGTGAAAGCACTCGCAAACATTATTGCGAACATGTGAACACGCACACTAAAGCTACTGGCGTTCTCTAATGGGAAAAGTGCGTTCATTCCTAATGCAACACCCGACAGCAACAAGCAAGTAATCTGGCGCTGAAACGAATGAATACTATTCCGTATATTTCGCAGGCGTACTGGCTATCTGCGGGATTGTATCAACAAACTAAAATCAAATTATGTTCTTATTGTACAGTAGTACTAGAGAGCAATAATAATCAAATGTGAAACACCACAATTCGTTAATTAAAACCCATGAAATCAACAGAATGCGCACAATAAAACCCACACAAATGACATGGAAGCTAAGTACAACTTCAATTCTGTAATTTAAGGCAACAGTAGTCGAAACCATTGTCGTGATATATTTTAGATAATCCAATCGGTCAAGTCCATCGTTAAAACGAAATCACACCTAATTTATAAGTGAATACACTCTATCACTTTGTTCTAAAATGTATTACGCTCTATTATGATGTATCACAATAAATCTTCAGATGTCATATTAATGATTCGTACTCCCAAAATTCAACTTCTGTGGTGAAAAGACAACTTCGACGTGATGCACAACTTCAAGAGGCGAACATATTTTTTACATTCAACGAGTTTACGTCAGTGTTTCTGGTCTACCAAATAGTGGCTACGAGTGTCACTTCAAAAGTAATCCCAAACAATTTTTTAAGTGATAAATTTATAAGCAATAATGGTGCATTTCTTTTGGAGTGACCTTCGTACAACATCCGAACATTTACACATACGATTATCACATCAAGCGCACTGGGAACTTTCACTCTCCTGTGTTTCTCCCGACATTCTTATTGCGATTTCTCACAACCAGTTCAACGGCATTTACGATCCATTTCATGTCCCAACGCAGTTGCCAAGAAAAACATCGGCGACTTTCTTTGAAGTGCCTCTACTTGAGAAAATAATACATTCGCCGACTACCTTATTTTCTCCTCCTCTCACAAGCTATTTACAACTGTTAACTAGCCTCCGGTTCACACGAGAAGCGCAAGGATCATTCAGATCCTGCGGATGCGAGCCGGGAAGAGTGGGGCTTGTGAGGAGGCGGCGGCGGAGGGGCGTGAAAGGGACACGCTGTTTCGTCTGTTACTGTAGCGTCTCCTTTCAGTAGATTCTTAAAGAAATTCGCCATTTCTGCCCAATGGTCTAATCGTTTTGCCACATCATTCTATGAGCTACACATTATTGCAACGAAAATTATATTCGCTTTTTACTCACAATTAAGAACTATACATAATAAACCATTAATTATCTGTCATCTCCAAAAACGCAGTACTCCCAGGTGACTGGTTCCACTTTCTTCCGGTTCTCGCAGTCAACGTCGGTCCGGCGTGCGCCGGCCGGCTCCGGTTTCTGGCTAATTGAATGGGTCGCGTCGAAAACAAGCCGGGCCGGAATCGGCCGGGCCGCGGGCGGACGCCCTCGCTCGCGCCGCCGCCTCTGCCGCCGCGCCGCCTGCACTCCACTCTGTTCGGGCCAGCTCACGACTATTTTGACAGGGTCTAAAACAGGTGAGCATCGCCAAACTGCTGGGGCTACGGAATGGCTGACTTTCTCGTCCTAGTTTTCAAATTTCTTTAGAATGCGCTAACTTTTCGGTGTTGACCCGTCCTCTCCGCAACCACCATCGATCGCCCCCGAACTACATCATTCCACAAATGCAATAATGTATACAAATTGTTGGCAATGTACATGCTAAAGGCGTGAGAGATGTTTAAAAACAAATACAATTGCGTCATTTTTAAAAAAACCACAAAGGAATACAGCAAAAAGGCTTCTGTCATCTTATACAGTGCATTTAGCACTCTCCGTACAAACATTTGGAGCACTATACCTACAGAAAGCTTAAAGAAAAAATTTGGAGCTATTTTTGAGAAAGGTTTTTTTTTTAAATTGCCCATATTTCACATAAAATTGCGCCAACGCAACTGAAACCTTTAAAAAAATGTATACAACGTTAATAAAAGAACTAATTGAGAACGAGTTTCATTTGAAGGAGAAATGAATCCATCTTCAATATTGTAATTGAAGGAAAATTCAGACGTTACTAAATACTACTCCCTAAATACGTGCGTATACGAGAAAGTAAAAAACGTGTCAGTACGGACGTCAATACGCAGTATATATTACACCGTACATACATACGTAGTCGAGAAAGTAGAAAGCTGACCAATCTGCGAAATGTAATATTCCGCCAGACAGACGAACGGAGCGCAGCTGATAAAACGGCGGAAATGCCAGTTCAGTGCTTGCAGATGAATGATAGAGATTTTACGAGTGATTAGTGAGTTCCGATACCATCACTACAAAAAATATTGAAAATAATCATGCGCATGACATTGAAAAAATGTTAGAATAATAAATTGAATTATTTGAACGACAAATCAACGGAAAACATCCACGTTCGAATCTAAGATAAACTGTTAGCTAACAGTCGCGGAATATGAAAGAGCCCGTATTGTTTACTATCACGTAAATTCATGATCACTTTTAATTGCTTTTATACATTTTTTTCATACGATGTATGAGATTCTCGCAGAGCCTATGTCTATGAGTTTGAATAGTATGACATTTGATTTAGAACACACTATTATAAAACGTCGGCTTGTAGAATAGTCTAAGTACTTTCGGTGTAAAAGTTCGTAAAGAAGGGGCATGGACGAAAATAAAATGATTGCATTACAATCGAAATGGAATGTCTTCAAAAGAGACACCAAAAATAAAGTTGTACAAAAATAAAGTCTCAAGTGA